AACATGTCACAGAATTCCATGACAAACGTTGGAGGACCGGTAGGGGAGGAACATAAGTATTGGGCAAAACAATATATTTAATAAGCCCATTGGACTCAAAGTTCCTAGGAATTAGTGGTATGAGTAAGGATATATTGACTTGGAATGACCAACCCACACACACACACACACAGAATTAATTTTTACGCAAACTCCGCAGTGCATCCGGTCAAACAAACCGTCAAAGACGAAATTTGAATACATTTATGTCCTCCATTCTGTTCAGTCCCTGTGTTGAACTGGTTGACACACTGGTAACATACACCCGGCACAGTCCGGAGTTCAAAGTCCAGAAAGGACAGAGGATACGTGCTTCCGCTGAGTTTGTAAAACGCAATTCAATCGCTTCCTGATTCGACTGAATGAACTAAAGTTTATACATGCAGATGAACTCTCATGGATATTCAGTTCGCAGTCCGCCGTCTGCAGTCAAAGTTTTATTATGGGACTTACTTAAAAGCTTATGCCTCTCTTGTCCCCATAGGATATTTGCGCAGTTGAAATATCTCACGGCGCAAAACTCACATAGAGTTCCGGGTAGGAGAAAACAGACAATGTAGGCTTTACCAAATTTGTCTTTTCCTTTAGTGGTGTAGGAATGTGAGGTACACCAAGGCTTCATCGAGTCTCCGCTTTAGAGATTCAACAGTTGGCGCACAAACGACGTGAGGTGGAAGGGTGTTCCAAGTACTGCGTACTCTGATTGTAAAAGATTTGAGGATGATATCTATTGGCGGCAAATTTTGTTTTTTATTTGAACTGATAATCCTTCAGACTTCACCCTCAGTTCCTTCGATCAATCATACATTCAGAAGCACTAGACTCGAGTTTCACTCTTATCAGAGCTCATCAGTAGTGCACATCAACCGTCCCATCTCAACTCTGAACTCCGGAAGCAGAAGGCGTGTGTGTGGACAATCTGATTTGGTGGAGGTTGGCAGATAGTCAATTTTGTCCCCCTTTGTTGCTGTCTGACCGAAAACGAACTGAGTGATTATCACTGAAGACGACACCTAAAAGGATATGATTTGGCAATGCGTTTCAGCCACGATCTGAGCTGTTTGGCACAGTGGTAACACACACGTCTTCCATGTGATGGGTCCGGAGTTCAAAACTCGGACGGGGTGGTAAATAGGCACTGCGGATGAGCTCTAATAAGAGCGAAACTCGAGTTCAGTGCGTCCGAGTGTATACTTGACTGGCAGGACTGATGATTGTGTGTGAGGATGAAGGCTGAAGGCTGACCAGTTCGAAGCAATATCAATTACCCCACACCATCACTTACAAGTAACTGTAAGTTAAATGTAAACTATATGTGATTATACATGTACAGGTGTTGAATAAATTAAACATTATTTTTTTCATATGTATGCAGTCTCTGGAGGGTTCAAGTTGAATATCAAATTCATCCAATTACCGCGCAGCAGCCAGGATTTTACTTTAATCGAAAACTTTTCCTATATCAGAAACAGGAATAAGTTAGCTACCTTCACACTGGTCGTCAGTGGTAAAGATGTGCGGTGTATTAGAAGTGTTGTGTAGAGACTGTTGCTGAGACTGCTATCGCATCACCAACTTCTGAGCCGAAAAAGAGAACACAATCAAAATGGCACAGGACAGCATATTAGAAAAAAATGTCTTCTTTTGCTTGTCGTTTTTTTTTCGTTGACATTCGTTCCTTTTATTGCGTTC